TCTGTCTCTGTCTCTGTCTCTGTCTCTGTCTCTGTCTCTGTCTCTGTCTCTGTCTCTGTCTCTGTCTCTCTCTCTGTCCTTGTCTCTCTGCGCTTCTTTGAGTTTTGCTGCAGCTCACGAAGGGCTCGCGTACATATATGTACATATATATATATATACATATGTATATATATATGTATATATAAGTATATATATATATATATATACTTATATATATATATACTTATATATACATATATATATATATATATATTTATATATATAACTCGTTTCCTGCGGCGCCTACGCCTGCATATAATGATCGCTTTAAGTAACCGCTACAACTCCTCTTCCTATTTCTACAAAGACTTTGTACGCACTTGAACTGCTGTGCTGCAGCTATTGCTGCTGTAATGTAGCTAATCCTGCTGCAGCTGCTGTAGCTACTGCTGCCGCTGCTGCAGATGGTGTAGCTAATCCTGCTGCAGCTGCTGCAGATGCTGTAGCTACTCCTGCTGCAGATGCTGTAGCTACTCCTTCTGCAGGTGGTGCAGCTAACAGTAGCTGCAGCTGCTGCAGCTACTGTTAGCTGCTGCAGCAGTTCTACACGTCTATTAGTGCTCTCACAACCATCGATAAGAATATTAATTAATAATTTCGCGATCCTACTGGCAGCAAACTTGCATGCAGAGACAAATACACAGAACACCTGCAGACAGAAGGTGCTGCACCAACAACTGTCTGCTGCAGCAGCAGCAGCAGCAGCAGCAGCAGCAGTTGTTGTTGCAGCAGCAGCAGCAGCGGACGCCGCAGTAGCAGACGCAACAGCAGCAGCAGACGCAACAACAACAGCGGATGAAACAGCAACAGCTGAGGCAGCTGCAGCAACCGACGCTGGAGCAGCAGCAGCAGCAGCAGCAGCAGCTGTCTGCAGCAGCAGGCCCTCCCCACAGTTAATGCGCAGCAGCTCTGCAGAGTTTAGCAGCAAACATACATACCCAAGAATGTAATTAATGCGTTTGCTGCTGCTGTTGCTGCTGCTGCTGCTGCTATATTTGCATTAATAACTCTCATAGCCAACCACAACATGCAGCGCAGCCAGCAGCAACCTAAGCGTAAATATATTTTTGCTGCAAGCAAATTGTTTTAATTATATTTATTATATTTGTTTGCTGCTGTTATTAAAAAGAAACACACAAATATACACACGTACATATACACGTATACACACACACAAAATCCCGCAGCAGCATCATCATTGCGTCTGCAGCAGCAGCAGCAGCAACAGCAGCAGCAGCAGCAGCAGCAGCAGCAGCCGCAGCAGGAGAGGCTGCTGCTGTGAATGCATCGATTGACAGCTGCTTTGGCTGGAGGTATAAAGAAAGTATTAAGTTTTGTTTTGTTTTATGAGTTTTAGGGCGCTGTGCTGCTTGTGGGTTTCATCGTTTGCTTCTGTTGCTGCTGCAGTTGCTGCTGCAGTTGCTGCTGCAGTTGCTGCTGTTCCTGCAGCGGGAGTTGGCGTTGGGGTTGTTCGTGCGGCTTGCTGCTGCAGCAATTCTGTTTTTTCTATTTGTAGCAGCTTGAATAACAGCGAAAGCAGGGGGTGTTTTAGCACTGTGGGCTGCTGCTGCTGCTGTTGTTGCTGCTGCTGCTGCTGCTCTCTTTGCTGCTGGCGTCTGTCTGCTGCAGCGCGGTGTATAAGGAGGCATTGTGGGAGTCTTTCGTCTCCTGCTTCTTTGCCTTGCAATTTCGTGCTGCAGCAGCAGCAACAGCAGCAGCAGCAGCAGGTGCAGCAGCAGCAGCAGCTGCTGCTGCTGCTGCTGTCGGTCTTCCTTGCTGCTCCATCCGTTGGTGCAGCTGGGTGTTCTCTTTGCTGCTTCTCTAGGAGGAAGCTGTCTTGTTTTTAGTGTACATACACCTGAAGCTGCCTGTCAGCTGCAGCAGAGTGAGGGGCGTTTCTTGCAGCAGCAGCAGCAGCAGCAACAGCAGCTGCAGCAGCAACTGGTTCGTGCTGCAGCGACAGACATACAACAGCAGCAGCAGCAGCTTCCTCTCTGGTTGGTTTCGACTTGAAGGACAGGAAGAAGGAGTGTTTTTCTTGTAGCAATCTGCTGCTACGTTTGCTGCTGCTGCTGCTGTTCCCTCTTCCTGTTGCTGCTGCTGCTGCTGCTGCTGCTGCACAATGAGGGTGCGGCACTTGCACAGTTTTCTGCAGGAGCGGCAGCTGCTGCGTCAAAGCCGATTAGAAGAGTTAAGAGGACAGCGAATAGGTGTAGATGCATTATATTATTTGCGGTGTATAGGCACATGCGGGGAGGGTTTATTAGGGCTTCTAGGTGAGAGCCACACATATCTTCTTGCTGCGCTGCAGCAGCAGCTGCAGCTGCTGCAGCACTACGAAATAACCCCTGTCTTTGTCTTTAGAGGTATAGAGCCGCAAGGGCACCACCTGTTTACTCAGCAGCAAGATCAGAGGCCTCTCTGGGGGAAGTTCTATACAGAGGGTGCTGCTGCTGCAGCAGCAGCAGCAGCAGACGCTGCAGCAGCTTGCTGCGGAAACCTTACTGCTTCTCCTGCTGCAACCGGAAGCAGCAACACGCGACCCAGCAGCAGCAGCAGCAGCAGCAACAATGGCGTGCATACTAACGGCCATGGAGACACTGCAAATGGTAGCAGCAGCAGCAGCAGCAGCAGCAGCAGCAGCAGCAGCAACAACAGCAGCAGCAGCAGTGGGGGTGCATTGGTGCGTAGTGGCAACAGCAGCGGTAGCTGCAGCTGCAGCAGCAGCAGCATAACTGAAGATGTGGAGGGTTTCCTGCTGCAGCAGCTGCAGCAGATGGGCGTTGAAGCTTTTCGTGCACCTTACTTAGCGCTGCCTCAGCTGTCTTACTTAGAAGAGATAGGATATATTGACGCTGTTATAGGGCCTCCTTCAGCTTTATTATTTGGTTTGCCTCGAGTAATATTGCATATAGACAGCAGCAATAACAGCAGCAGCAGCAGCAGCAGCAACAGCAGCAGCAGCAGCAGCAGCAATGGCCGTCCAGCAGCTTTCTTCAGCTGGGTTTGTAAGGGGCCTTTGATGCTCTCTTTAGGCGTCTCTGAAGAACAGTTTGCTGATGCCTGTCTCCTTGCAGGGACAGATTATTCGTTTACATTTCCTTATTTAAATCTAGCTCAGTTTCGTGTTGCTGCTGCTGCTGCTGCAGCAGCAGCAGCTGCTGCTGCTTTCTCCTTCGGCTCTGCACTTGAATTCATCAAACAGGCGCCGCTCTGCAGCTACTTGCAGCAGTTCCCCACAGACAATATGAAAGCAGAACATATCGAAGGGTAGGTGCTGCCGTTGCTGCTGCTGCTGCTGCTGTTGTTGCTGCTGCTGTTGCTGCTGGTGGTGGTGCTGCTGCAGCTGCTGTTGCTGCTGCTGGTGGTGCTGCTGTTGCTGCTGCTGTAGCAGTTGTTGTAGCACTTGGCGCATTAACTGGTGCTGCTGCTGTAGCTGGTGCTGCTGCTGCATTTGCTGCTGCTGCTGTAGCTGGTGCTGCTGCTGCAGCAAATGCAGTGCAGCAAAAAGGCGCAGCAGAAATTGAGCTGCAGCACCAAGTGGTGCAGCAGCTAGCCAGCCAGCTGCAGCAGCAGCAGTTTCGCAGCTGGAGGATTTATTATTATTACCGCTGCTGTTGCTGTTGCTGTTGCTGTATCTCATCACTTTATTTATTTATTTATTTATTTATTTATTTATTTATTTATTGTTTGCATGCAGCTACTGTATAGGCAGGTGCCTCCTTACGCACCCGCTGGTCTTGAAGGAGACAGGCAATGTAGAGTTCTTCGTTCCTTCATCTCGGCAGCAGCAGCAGCAGCAGCAGCAGCAGCAGCAGCAGCAGCAGGCTCAGGCACAGGCACAGGCTCAGGCTCAGCAGCAGCAGCATCCGCAGCAGCCTCCGCCTCAGCAGCAGCAGCAGCAGCAGCAACTGCAGCAGCAGCAGCAGCAGCAGAGGGTTCCGCTGCCTCCGAAGGATTTCAGTGAGATTGTGGGGTTGAGGCTGCCTCCTGCGGTGTACATACACCTGGCTGAAGGTCGTCTGTCTCGGCCTCTTGCTGTTGCGCTGACACATAAAGAATATATTTATTACTTCTCGTCCTTCGCAGACACGACAGAACTAGCAGAGACATTTGTCGAGGCTTCGCAGCACAGATTGAAGGCTCTTTGTATGCTGCAGCACTTTACCTTTATACCTCCTTGTCTTTCTTTTCTTACTGTCTCCTCATCTCGTCTCTCTGTCTCTCTGTCTCTGTCTCTCTGTCTCTCTGTCTCTGTCTCTCTGTCTCTGTCTCTCTGTCTCTGTCTCTGTCTCTCTGTCTCTCTGTCTCTGTCTCTGCCTCTGTCTTCGTCTCTGTCTCTGCCTCTGTCTCTGTCTCTGTCTTTGTCTCTGTCTCTGTCTTTGTCTTTGTCTTTGTTTGTCTGTCTCTCTCTGTCTTTATTTCTGTGTCTCTGTCTCTCTGTCTCTCTGTCTCTGTCTCTTTATCTGTCTCCGTCTGTCTCTATTTCTCTGTCTCTTTATCTGTCTCCGTCTGTCTCTTTATCTTGCTGTCTCTCTATCTCTCTGTCTCTATATATAATATATATAATATATATAATATATATATGATATATGTAGGATATATAATATAAATATTATATATATAATGCATATGTATAGTGCATATAATGCATATAAGTAATATGTATGCATGCATATATAATATATATATTTTATAATATAGTATGTATGGTATATATATATATATAATATATATATACATATGTATATATATATATATATATTATATATTTATATTATATATGTACTGCATTGTCTTTGTAATATATTTATAAATAAATTAACTAATTAAAGAAATTACTTCAAAATAAATAATAAATAAATAAATAAATAAATAAATAAATAAATAAATAAATAAATAAATAAATAAATAAATAATAAATAGACTTGTTTTGTTTGTTTTTGTTTGTTTGTTTGTTTTAGGGTTAATATCGCGACATCTGCATTCAGTGTTTCAGACAGAGCCTGTTGTATTTCTTTATGCTTCTGCTGGTGCAGCAGCAGAGACAAGAAGCAGCAGCAGCAACTCTCCTGCTTGCTTCAGCAGCAGCTTATGTCGTTACTGGGTTGTCTCTGCTGCAGCAGTAGCAGCAGAATTAAAGAGACAGAATTGCACGCATCTATCAATGAGGTTTTGTTTAGACTGGTTCTCTGCTGCTGCTGAGGGGGAGAAGCAGCAGCTATTTACTTTAGAGCTTCCACCTCCTCCTTCTGCTGCTGCAGCAGCAGCAGCAGCAGCAGCAGTAGCAGCTGATGTCGAGAACCATAGAAAAGCTATTGAAGCTGCTGCGCTGCTGCAGCTCTTTGATGCTGTCGGCTTCTTCACCCTTGGTGGAGGCAGCACTGTCTTTGGTGCTGCACTTGCTGCTGCTCCAGAAGAATTTCAGGTATGCTGCTGCTGCTGCTGTGTTTGCTGCTGTTTTGCTGCTGCTGCGGTTCTTGTTGTGTCCCTGCTGTTGTCGTTTTGCTGCTGTTGCTGCTGCTGCTCGCCCTGTTGTGCTGCTGTTGATGCTGTGGCTTCCGGGTTTTTGTTGCTGCTGTTGCTGCTGTCAGCTAGCTAGCTGCTAGCTAGCTTGCTGCTGCTGCTGCTGCTGCTGCTGCTGCTTTGTTGGCGTTCTTTTTGTTTTGTTTGCGGTGCTGTGTGTTTGTTGTTATATTTATTTACATTTGTTATATTTATTTATATTTGTTTTATTTATTTTTTTATTTATTGTTTGCTTCAGGAAGAGATATTTCTTTGCTTAGAGTTGCTGCGCTTGGGGCTGCTAAGCGGAGACAGCCTAGAAATGCAGCAGCAGAATTTGCTGCCCTCGGGTGTACGTGCAGCTATAGAGCAGCGGTATGCAGGAGAAGAGATGAAATCATCATCATCATCATCATCATCAGCAGCAGCAGCAGGTGCAGCAGCAGGTGCAGCAGGAGGTGCAGCAGGAGGAGCAGCAGGAGATAGAAGACGTGCTGCGTTGCTGCTGCAGCGCGTCGCTTCTCTGCTGCCTCTAAGACTAAAGCCAGGCGTAGCTTGGCGTGCTGATGTCTGCTTAGATCTGTTCGGGTTCTCAACTCTTGTGTCTCTGCTGCGCACGTCCTTCAAAGAGTTAACCGATGCTGCTCTCGTCAGCAGACTCCTGCAAGAGCCTCATCTCGTAAGCACTTCCTATATGCTTTTATATGCTGCTGCTGCTGCTGCTGCTGCTGGTTGCTGGCTGCTGCTGCTGCTGGTTGCTGGCTGCTGGTGCTGGTTGCCGCCTGTTGGTGCTGCTGCTAGGTAGCTTGCTGCTGCTACTGCTGCTGCATGCATGCATGCATGGATAGTCTGCATTTATTATTATTATTATTATTATTATTTATTATTTTGATGTTCTTGTTTGTGCTGTCTGTTGGTGTGTTCGTCTTTATAGAGCCAGTGCTGGAGACAGGAAGGAAGCAGCAGCAGCAGCAGCAGCAGCAGCAGCAGCAGTTTGCCTTCATTTAAGTGCACAGGGTACGGCTTAGGTGTTGTTGTTGGATTCTTCTTGAGTTATTCGGGGCCCTCGGGCTTAGATGAATTTGCTGCAGCAGCAGCAGAAGCATTTCCTGCTGCAGTAGATGCTGTTGAAGATCTTTGTGCTGCTGCTGCTCTGTGGAGGGCTATGCAGCAGCTAGTTAGAGGGCTTTCTCTTGCTGTAGATGCCGGTGAGCTATTAAAAGAAATAGAAGAAGCAGATTTAATATTCACTAAACAAATTCAGAAAACAAACCTCCACATGCATCCCAGCTACAGACGCAGACTCCAGCAGCAGCAGCAGCAGCAGCAGCAGCAGCAGCAGCAGCAGCAGCATGAACATTAAACACACATTTCTACACTCGTCTTCGCCTACGGCTGCTGTTCGTGCGGGGTACGCATGATAATGCTGCTGCTGCTGCATGCAGCTGATGCTGCTTGGTGCTGCTGTTCGTTGCTGCAGCAACGAGCAGCAGCAGCAAGCAGCAGCAGCAAGCAGCACTAGACCCAACTTGTTTTCATCGTTCGTTTTAAAAACATTTCTAACCCAATCCGCTGCATCTGCTGCGCATATGGCGGCAGAGGCAGCTTCGATTGTGATGCTGCTGCTGTTGCTGCTTCTGCTGCTGCTGCTATTGCAGCAGCTGCAGCAACAGCAGCAGCATCACAAAAGAAGCAACAGGAACTCAAGAAGAATATCTTAAAGGCGTGTAGAGCAGTGACAGACAATCCACTGTAGTACGCCTCTGCTGCTGCTGCTGCTGTCGGAGCTGCTGCTGTTGCTGTTGCTGCTGCTGCTGCTGCTGTTTTGTGTGTATAGTAATTGCTTCTGTGTTTGCGGGGGCTTCAATCTGCTGCAGCAGCTGCTGCGGATCGTCTGTAAATAAACTCAGCCTGTCTATGCCGTCAGCTAAGTCCAGGAAACCTGCAGCAAAAGATAGCAGCAGCAGCAGCAGCAGTTGTAATAGGAGTATGAGCAGCAACAGCAGCAGTAGTAGTAGTGCTGGTGGTGTTTGTGCTGCTGCTGCTGCATGCAGCTGCTGCTGCTGCTGCTGTTGCAGCAAGTGCATTCTGTCTCGGCAGCAGCAGAAGCAGCAGCAAGAACAATAGCAGCAGTAGTAGCAGCAAGGGTAACAGGAGCAGCAGCAGCAGCAGGAGCAACAGCAACAAGAGCAAAAGTAGCAACAGCAGCAGTACCAGCAGCAGCGTCAGCAGCAACAGCAACAGCAGCAGCAGCATCAACAGCAACAGCAGCAGCAACAGGGCTTATCACAACTGTTTACGCCTCCAATTGCCTTACTGTTTAGGTTTGAATTAGCAGCAGCAGCAGCAGCAGCAAACACAGTTTCATGCATATTAAAAGGAGATCCGCAAGAACATCTCATAGGAGACTCAAATCTGCTGCAGCACCCCCTCCTGCTGCTGCTGCTCTTGCTGCTGCTGCTGCTGCTGCTGCTGCTGCTGCTGCTGCTGCTGGTGCCTGTACACCTGAGGCACTTGAAAGTATTAGGATTGTGCTCTGTATAAGAATGCTTGCAAATGCAGAAAAGATCAGCAGAGCCGTGTATATTAATATAATTAAAACAAACGCAGCTGCAGCCTTCTACTAAACAACCCACCCGGTATATCTGCTGCTGCTGCTGCTGCTGCTGCTGCTGCTGCTGGCTCTGCTGCTGCTGCTGGTTCGGTGAAGGAAGAGGAATAGGCTGCTGCTGCTGCTGCAGACGTTGCTGCTTTCGCTGCTGCTGCTGCTTTCGTTGCTGCTGCTGCTGCTGCTGCTGCTGCTGGGTTTTATGTTTGTTTTGCATGAAGTCGTGCTGCATAAATGAATGCGAACAGAAGCAGCGACTAAAAGGCGATATTACTCTGCAGCGGAGACCCGTAGAAACATTTACCCAAAATGCTGCCAGAGGAAATGACCCTGCTGCTGCTGCTGCTGCTGCTGCTGCTGTTGATGATGGTGCTGCTGCTGCTGATAATAGCGATGCTGATGATGATGCACGTGCTCCTGCTGCAGTTGCTGCTGCTCGCGCTGGTGCTGCTGCTCCTTCTCCTGCTGCAGAGTTTAAATCCTCGTCTTCCTGCATGCATGCAGCAGCAGCAGCAGCAGCAGCAGAAGCAACAGAAGCAGCAGCAAAATCATAAGCCCATTCAAGTGTGTTCAGTCGCTGTGCTGCTCTCCATACGCGCCTGCTGCTGTAGCTGCTGCTGCTGCTATTTCCTGCTACCGCTGCTGCTGCTTCTGCTGCTCTTTATACTACCCCTGGTGCTGCTGCTGCTGCTCTTCCTACTGAAACTGTTGTTGCTGTTGCTGCTGCTGTTGGTGTTGGAGCAGAGTTTGCTTCTATTGCCTAGGGGTTTAATTTGCTTCATTCTGCAGCAGCAGCAAATTAAGTCCTTGCAGCAGCAGCAGCAGCAGCAGCGGCAACACTCAGGTGTACAAGCGCCTCAAGAGATAAGCGAGGCAGCAACAGCAACGTATCCTAATACTCTGTGCTGCTGCTGCTGCTGTTGCTGCTGCTGCTGCTGCTGCTGCTGCTGCTGCTGCTGCTGCTGCTAGATTCTACAGACTCACCAGATATCCCATTTTCGCTGCTGCTGCTGCTACTGCCGCTCTTTTGCTTCTGCTGCAGCTGCAGCAGCAGCTGCAGCAGCAGCTGCTGTTGCTGCTTCGGCTTCTGGTGTTGCTGGTGCTGCTGCTTCTGCTGCTCCCTGCAGCTTTGCTGCTGCTGCTGCAGGTGCTTCTGCTGCTGTCGTTGCTGCCGCGTGGTTCCTTCCGCTTTTGCTGCTTCAACAACAGCAGCAGCGGCTGCAGCAACAGCAGCAGCAGCGGCAGCAGCAGCAACAGCAGGAGTGTCTAAACTGTGTGTTTGCTGATACACCACTTTAATTGAGTTATTTTTATTTATTTATTTATTTATTTCTGCTGTTTTGCTGCAGCAAGTGCAGCACTAACCTCAGCAATAGCCCTCCCGCCAGCAGCAGCTCTGCGGTGTGTGTGATACTTTTTTTGAGTTTGTTTATATAAAAATAATATTTTATTTAAATAAAATTATTTAAATATGCAGAAAAACAAACAAACAAAGCAGAAGAAAACAGATATATGCCTATATAATATATACAATATATATTTTGAACATACACCGCAGCAACGCAGCAGCTGCTGCACAGCCGCATATATATATATATATATATATATATATATACTGAGCAGTCTTAATTTTCTGTATATTTTATATAATTAAATTATATTTTTATTAATTTATTTATTGAAAATTATTCAAAATGTTTTATTATATACCCAATTTCCTACTCTACCCTATATTTGCTGCTGCTGCTGCTGCTGCTGCTGCTGCTGCTGCTGCTGATCTACGAACATCAAGAAGTAGGGAATCAATGAGAAAAGAAAAAATAAATTAATCAAGTTTGTTTATAATATTAAATTAATAAAATTTATATATACATATATATATACATATATATATATATATTTATATATGCACCTGTACATAATATATATATGTATATATATATATATATATATATATATATAGCTGTAGCTAATTACAGCTCGTCGGGGTCGGGCCCAAGCTGCAGATGGTATTGAGGTGTCTCCTCTGTCTTTTATTCTACAGAAAAAGAATGCTGCTGCTGCTGCTGCAGCAGCAGCAGCAGCAGCAGCAGGCCTGCTGCTCATTCCGCAGCAAACGCTTTCCTCATTCTCTCGCGCTGCAGCAGTTGCTGCTGCAGCTGCTGCTTTGCTGTTCGATCCCCACCACTGCTGCTGCTTCCGCTGCTGCTGCTGCTGCTGCTGCTTCTGCAAGGCTTCGTGTTGCTGTTGCTGTTGCGAGGTTTGCCGCTGCAGCACACCACAGCAGTTGCAAAAGCACCAGCAGCATCAGCAGCAGCAGCAGCAGCAGCAGCAACAGATGAGGAGATGAGAGCCAAGCGCAGCAGAAGACTTCCTGCAGGTTTATTATAGCGACGCATGCAATAAACAAGTAAACAAATAAATAGATACCTAAGTAAATAGATAAATAAATAAATAAAAACATAAAAACAGACAATAAATAAATAAATAAATAAATAAATAAATAAATAAATAAATAAATTTTAATTACCTCATGAGTTTCTTTGGGATGGTTTGCTTTTCATGGTTTTGATTCTGCTGCAGGGGAGCTGCTGCTGCTGCTGCTGCTGTTGCTGCTGCTGTTGCTGCTGCTGTTGCTTCTGCTGCCCAGACACCGTAGCGATCTCCCCCAGGCCCATCCTTCAGGGCCTCTGTAAGCAGCCGCAGCACGCGAGCTGAGTCTTCTGCTGCTGCTGCTGTTGCTGCTGCTGCTGCTGTTGTTGGTACAGCAGCCGCAGCTGCACGCTGCAGACGTCCTTCCTGCTGCTGCTGCTGTTGCTGCTGCAGCTTCTCCTGCTCAACCCTACTCCCTCCCTGCCCAGCGCGTCTGAAGACAGGTCTTGATCTGCTGCTGCTGCTGCTGCTGCTGCTGCTGCTATTGTGTGTAGCTGCAGCCGTTGCTTCATCGAGGGAAGAGAGCCGATGCCCTAAAGCAGCCAGCCGTTTTGCTGTTGCTGCTGCTGCTGCTGCTGCTGCTTCATTTCCAGCACCTCCTTGGAGTGTACATGCAACTTGCTGCAGCCTCATTTGCGCACAGAATGAACCCTTACTCTCCAGCTGCTGCTGCTGCTGTTCCTGCTGCTGCTGCTGCTGCTGCTGCCGGTCCATCTGCTGGCCTTGAAATGATGTTCGTGCTGCAGCCAGCGGCTGCGTCACCTCGTCTAAGTTTGTTGTTGTTGCTGCTGCTGCTTCTGCTGTTGCGGTCGATCTTGCTGCTGCTGCTGTATGTCTCACTGCAGCAGGCAGCTGCGCCTCCAGTTGTAAGCGACTCTGCAGATCGCAGCAACAATAGCAGCAGCAACAGCAGCCGCAGCAGCAGCACAACTGTCCTAAGCTGCTAAGAAGCAAGTGCAACAACCGAAGCAGCAATAGCAGCAGCAGCAGCAGCAGACATCCGCTAGCAGCAGCAGGGAGGCACAACCATATCCCCTCAGGCGGCAATTCGTATAGCTAGTTAGCTAGCTAGACTGCTAGCTAGCTGGATAGCTAGCTAGCTGATTAGAGGAGGCCTCACCGCTAGGGATATAATTTCGTTTGCTTCTGCTGCATCAAGAGGCAGCAGCAAAACTTCAGGAGACCTCTGCGGCGAGTCCAGAGCATCCGCAGCGCTGCTGCTGCTGCTGCTGCTGCTGCTGCTGCGACGTCGCTGCTGCTGCTGCCGCTGCTCCAGCCGACGAGCTGCTGCCTGCAGGGACCGCATCAAAAGCCCCCCAAAAAACAACAGAAGCTGCGGCTGCAACACGAGTTTGCTGCTGCTGCTGCTCCTGCTGCTGCCTGAGCAGCTGTTACTGCTGTCACGCGGCAAGGTATTTTGCCTCTGCCTTTGCTGCTGCTGCTGCTGCTGCTGTTGCTGCTGCTGTTGCTTTGTGGAGAGCAGCAGCAGCCGCTCTACACTCCGGAGCATCCGCAGCACATCGCGGGGGGAGCAGCGCCAGCACTCAGGCATTGCAGCGGCAACAGCAGCAGCAGCAAAAGCAGCAATGTCTTCTACTGCAACTCCTGCTGCTGCTGCTGCTGCTGCGGGGGGGCTCAGGGCTTCTGCTGCCTGCTGCAGTTCAGCTGCCGCCTGCAGCAGTTGAGATAAGACTCGAGTAGACATCTGCTGCAGCTGGCGCTGCAGCGCCTGTTGCTGTAGTTGCTGCTGCTGCTGCTGCAGCGGTTGCTTCTGCGGCTGCTGCTGCTGTGTCCCTGCAGCTGCTTCTGCTGCCCTCAGGAGAGAGCGCAGCAGCAGCAATTCTGCAGCAAACAATGCAGAAGCAAAACCACGAGAAGCAGCAGCGGCAAAGCGACTGGGCAGAGCTGCTGCTGCTGCCCCTGCTGTTGCTGCTGCTGCTGATGCTGGCGCTGCTGCTGCTGCTGCTGCTGCCTCAACAGAAGGAGCAGCAAACGGACGACGCCTGCGCCCTCTACCAATGAGAGAGGCGTCCTCCGACTCACACATGTTGTTGTTGTTGCTGCTGCTGCTGGTGTTGCTGCTGTTGCTGCTGTTGCTGCTGTTGCTGCTGTTGCTGCTGCTGCTGGGTGCCGCAGCAAGAGCCTCGAAGGCATCCCTTTTGCCCAAGTAAACCGTTTCCCCACTTGCTGCTGCTGTTGATGTTGCTGTTGTTGTTGCTGCTGCTGTTGCTGTTGCTGCTGCTGTTGATGTTGCTGTTGTTGCTGCTGCTGTTGCTGCTGCTGCTGCTGCTGATGCTGCTGTTGCTGTTGCCGTTGCTGTTGCTGCTGCTGGCGTTGCCGCAGCAACGATAGCGAGCCAGAGACTGACAGTACTGCTGCAGCAGGAGATATCGTCAGCAGCAGCAGCAGCAGCAGCAGTAGGTAGAGCAGCAAAGCTGCAGCAGACAGTCTTCAACGGGCCCCACAAGTCAGCCTGATCGCAGCAGCAGCAGCAGCAGCACCAGCACAAGCAGCAGCAGCAGCAGCTGGGTTCTTATCCTGCGACAAAGTAAGGAAGGCAGCATCATGTTGCTGCCAACGCCTCAGCAGATGCAACACCAGGCAGCAGCAGCAGCAGCAGCAAACGCAGCAGCAACAGTCACAAACGCAGCAACAGTAGAAGCACCATCTACTGCAGCAGCAGCAGCAGCAGCAGCAGCAGCAGCAGCAGCAGCAGGTTACCTGTGTTTTAGCTGCCTCTTTAAAGGTAAGCGCCAACAGGCGATATGTCTCCCTCATGCCCCACACCTCGTTGCTGCTGCTGCTGCTGCTGCTGTCGGCGCTGCTGCTGCTGTTAAGCTGTTCTGCTGATTCCGCTTGCTGCTTCACCCAGCTCTCCGCTAGCTGGTGCTGCTGTTGCTGCTGCTGTTGTTGCTGCTCCGCGGTTGGTGATCGTTGGGAAACAGCAGCAGCCGCAGCAGCAGCAGCAGCGACGCGATGCTGCAGCGAGAGAAGGCCTGCAGCTGCCCCAGCAGCAGCAGCAGCGAGATGCCTTTGTTCACCCAGGGTGCTGCTGTTTCTGTTGTTGCTGTTGCCGCTGCTGGTGCTGTTGCTGCTGCTGCTGCTGCTACTGACGGCTTCCGCTAAAGGCCCTGATAGACACGCCTCAATCAGTCTTCCTAAGAAAAGAGGAAGCTGCTGCAGCAGCTGCTGCTGCTGCTGCTGCCAAGCAGGTGCAGCAGCAGCAGCACCACTGGCTTCAAATTCGTATTCCCCAGCAGCCGCGAACTGCTGCAGTGTTGCTGCAGCAGCAGCAGCAACACTTCGTGCTGCAGCATGAGCCTCTGCAACAGCTAAAGGAAGCCGCAGCAGCACATCAAGACAGCAGCAAACTGCTGTGGCTCGTCGGTGGAGCTGCTGCAGCACGTGCACTAGCTGCTGCTGCTTCTGCTGCTGCTGCTGCTGCTTGCAAAGCTTCATGGCGCAGCAGCAAAGGACTTGGCTTAGCTGCTGCTCCACGCGCTGCAATTGCTGCTGCTGCTGCTGCAGCAAGCAAATCTGCTGCCTCACTGCCTTAACGCACGATTTCTTCTCCTGAGGAGATTCCAGCAGCAGTGCCTGCTGCTGCTGCTGTTGCTGCTGCTCGCCGTACTGCTGCTGCTGCTGCTGCTGCTGCTGCAGCTGCTGAAGGCAGTGTTGAAGGGCCAAGCGTCTGTTGCTGCTGATAGCAGAAGTGAGAGCAGCAGCAGCAACAAGTTCTTCTGGCTGGTATGTGTCAGCAGCACGCTGCAGCAGCGGGGGAAGCAGCAGCAGCAACTTCATAGAATAACGCCGCTGCTGCAGCTGCTGCTGCAGGAAACCCAGAAGCGCAGCAGCAGGGAGAGCGCACAGCTGCTCCAGCTGCTGCTGCAGCTGCACACCCTCGACACATCCTCTGCTGCTGCTGCTGCTGGTGCTGCTGCTGCTGCAGTTAGTGCTGCCAAGGTTTCCGTCTGCAGACCATTGTTGCAGTTGTGCTGCTGTTGCTGCTGCAGCGTGTCTAGGTCTTGCTGTACCTGTTGGGCGCAGCTTTGCAGCAGCAGAAGCAGCTGGTGCTGCTGCTGGTGTTGTGCTGCATCTGCGCTGCAGCACTTCGTAGTGCTTCCACGCCGGCACCCGAGCTGCTCTTGACGCTGCTGCTGCTGCTGTCGTTGTTGCTGCTGCTGCTGTTGCTGCTGCTGCCGATGTTGCTGCTGCTCGGCTGCACGACAGCATTCGCAATGGAGCAGCAGCAGCAGCAGCAGCAGAGTTCATAGCTATCTCGCGCGGTTTCAACGGTGCTGCTGCAGCTGTCGTTGCCTCTGCTGCATTTTGAGGCGCTGCTGACGTTGCTGTTGCTAATGCTGCTGCTGCTGCTGCTGCTGCTGCTGCTGCTGCACGAAGGAGAAAAAGAAAAAGCAGTAAAATATCAGACTCAAACAATGTGCATGCAACTAGGAAGAATAAAAATTCTTAAATACACACAGGGGCCCCTGAGGCCCTGGGGGCCCCCGTCGATTGAAGCTGCAGCAACTCTGCTGCTGCTGCAGCAGCAGCAGCAGCTGCTGCTGCTGATTTGTTACTGGGGAGCCTGGATAATGTTGTTTAGAAACCATCCAAATAAATATATTTTCTTCATTTCAGCTTTTTATATAGCCGGTGTAGAAGATACAGCAGCAGCAGCAGCAGCAGCTACTGCTGCTGCTGCTGCTGCTGCTGCTGCTGGAGGCCGCATGCAGCCGCAGCAGCTGTGGGGTCGTGGGGCCCCTCAGAAAGACAGAATTGTTTTATAGCGAGGGTCAGGAAGAATATGAATTAGTTTTATGAGTAGCTACAGCAGCAGAAGACAAGGCAGCAGCAGCAGCGGTAGCTTTTTCGCTGCAGCAGCAGCAGCAGCAGCGGCAGCAACACCAAGGCCCTCGTTGGTGGGATCGATTGCCTTCTCCTGACCTTCCGTCTGTACACCCGATCTAAAACTGCTTTTAGCAGGCAGCAGCAGCAGCAGCAAAGGGCTGCATACTCAAGCCAGCAGCAGCAGGAGCAGCAGCAGCAGCTGCTGCTGCTGCACCAGCAGCAGCAAACATCAGGTAGCCACAGTATGGAAGGCTACTCAGGGGAGTCCTTCCCCCGATCTGCTCCCTATAAGAAGCAGGAGAAGCAGCGGGGCGAAGCAAAAGGCAGCAGCAGCAACCGCAGCAGCAGCCACAGCAGCAGCAGCAATGGGAAGACGGAGGGCAGCAGCAGCAAAGGATCCTCCTACAGCAGATCACAGCTCTCCTTCCCTTTCTTAAATGCTGCAGCAGCACCAGCAACAGCAGCAGAGCAGCAGCAACAGCAGGAGGATGATGCCTCCTTCTCTGCAGCAGGAAATCGCGCTGATGCAGCAGCAGCAGCAGCAGCAATTAAAGCACCCTTGAAAGCAGGGGCGCTGCTGCTTGGTGTTGTTGCAGAAGTGCATACATCAGAGTTGCTGCTGCAGCTGCCTTATGGGCTTGTGGGGTACGTACACCGCACCCACACACTGGAGCAGCAGCAGCAGCAGCAGCAGCAGCAGCAGCAGCGAAAGTCAAAAGGTTCGCCGAAGCAGCAGCAACAGCAAGAGACGGCTTATGGGCAGCAGCTGCTGCAGCGCTTCTTTGTGGGGCAGCTGCTGCCTTGCGTTGTAATTGGTACCCCAAGCAGCAGCAGCAGCAGCAGCAGCAGCAGCGCATACGAGCTCTCGCTGCGGCCTTCGCTATGCAATGCCGGTTTGTCGCTGCAGCTGCTGCAGCAGGGAATGCTGCTGCCTGCTAACGTCTGTTCTGTTGAGGAGCATGGCTTGCTGCTAGACTTTGGAGTGCAGCACAGCAGCAGCAGCAGCAGCGGTATCCGCGCCTTCTTGCCGCAACAGCAGCAGCAGCTGCTGCAGCAGCAGCACAACGTGGTGCTGCTGCAGGGCTCTGTTGTTCCGGTGGTGTTGCAGGAGGTCAATAAGGCGTCGAGCACCATCATATGCGCAGCAGCAGCAGCAGCAGCAGAAGCTGCAGCAACAGAAGCAGCAGCAGCAGCTCCTGTGTTTTCTGCCTTCGGGCTGCAGCAGCAGCTGCCCTACGACAGTTTGAGGCCAGGGCTGCTGCTGGAGTGCCGTTTGCTGCGGCCGATCTTGCATGCAGCAGCAGCAGCAGCAGCAGCAAAGCGGATGCGAGGAGGCAGCGAGGCCGACAGCAGCAGCAGCAGCAGCAAGAACGTGACAGCAGCAGCAGACTTGCAGCAGGTAGAAGGAGTCGAGCTGAAGTGTCTTCAAGGCATTACTGCAGTTGTGCTGCACCCTCATGTTTCACACCCTGCGCTGCTGCAGCAGCAGCAGCAGCAACAGCGGCAGCTGCTGCTGGTCTCCAGCAGCAAGAAAGCGAAGCAAAACGGCAAGCACCAACAGCGTGGAGACAGCGAAAGCAGCAGCAGCAGCAGCACTGGCGCAGCAACAGAGGAGCAGCTGCTGCAGCAGTACGACCAGCAGCTGCTGCAGCTGTTCAACCCACGCCAGCAGCAGCAGCAGCAGCAGCAAGTGTACGGCCGGGTGATTGCTTTGCTGCCGCAGCAGCGAGTAGTGTTTGTGTCTTTGCTGCCTCATATCGTGGGGTGGCAGCAGCAGCAGCTGCTGCGGCTGCTACCTCCTCATTTGCTGCTGCCTGGAACGAAGATTAAGGCGCCTCTTTCTATTATTAAGAGCAGCAGCAGCAGCAGCAGCAGCAGCAGCACAACAGCAAACAACGACGGGCAGCGGGCGCTGCTGCCGCTTCACAAGCTGCAGCAGCAGCTGGTGTTGCAGAGCAGCAGCAGCAACAAGGATGAGGACCTTGTTGAAGCAGCAGTAACTAGAGACAGCAGCAGCAGCAACAGCAGCAGCAGCAGGTTTGCGCAGTTTGCTGTTGTTCGGGTTCCTCCTTTCTTTGACGTTGCTGGGGGCAGCAGCAGCAGCAGCAACAGCAAGCGGAAGCGCGAGCAGCAGCAGCAGCAGCAGCGGCAGCACCTCAGCCGCTGCCGGATTCTGTTTGTTCATTGGTTTGATGTTGAGGTTGTTGCTGCTGCTGCTGCTTCCTTGCTGCAGGAGGCGCTGCTGTCTCCTGTGGAGGCGCAGCCAGGAGACATCATCCGCGGCACAGTTATAAAAGCAATACGCAGCATCAGCAGCAAACAAAAGCAGCAGCAGCAGCAGCAGCAGCAACGCGTCGAGCAGCAGCAGACGGGACTCTTGCTGAGGTGAGTTGCACGGGGTGCAGGTCGTCTTGCTGCTGTTGCTGCAGCTGTTGCTGCTGCTGCTGCTGCTGTGGCTCTGGCTGCTTTTGTTGCTGCTGTTGTTGCTGCTGCACCTGTAGCTGCTGCTGCCGCTCAAGTGCATGCGTGCTTCCATGTAGGTACGGTGAGAGCTGCTGTGCAGGTTGTGAATACTAGTGCTGCTGCTGCTGCTGCTGTCGCTGCTACTGCTGCTCCTTCTGCTACTGCTGCTGCTGCTGCTGCCGTTGCTGCTACTGCTGCTGATGCTGCTACTCCCACTGCTGCTGCTGCTGCTGCTGCAGGCTTTCTTCTTCTGTTCGGGGTTGGCTGCCGCTTTGCTGCCTCAGCGATGTGCCGCTGCAGCAGCTACCTGAAGATGCAGCAGCAGGAGCAACAATGACAGCTCGCGTGCTGCGGCGCTTCTGCTGCAGCAGCTGCGACTTCCTAGAGTCTTCGTCTGCTGCTGCTGCTGCTGCTCTCAATGGCTGCTGCACCAACAGCGGTGCGCAACAGCAGCAGCAGCAGCAACAGCTGTACCCACTCTACAGCAGCAGCAGCATCACTTTCTCTGCATTTGAGCGAGGCAGCCTTGCTGCTGCTCTTATGGCTATGGGGGGAGGAGGCAGCAGCCGTTTGCTGCTGACATGTAGGAAGCTGCTGCTGAAGCAGCAATCCCCGTTGCTGCCAGGGCCGCTGCAGCCATCTGCTGCTGCAGCAGTTGCTGCTGCGCAGGCACTGCAGCAGCAGCAGCAGCGGCTGCTGCTGTCGGAGGAGCAGAAGCCCGTTGTGGAAAGGGGCCGCATTATCCTTGGCTACGTTAGCGAGATAAAGCAGCTGCAGCAGCAGCAGCAGCAGCAGCGGCAGCAGCAGCAGCAGCAAAAGCAAATAGTGCTGCGGTTCTTTGGGCCCTTCAAGGCTGTGCTGTCTCAGGCAGATATCCGTGCAGCAGAAGCAAACGGAAAAGAGTTTAAACTCGGCACCCTAGTCAAGGTACGCAGCAGCAGCAACAGCAGCAGCAGCAGCAGCAGCAGCAGCAGCAGCAGCAGCAGAAATAGCAGCAAGGGGCCCGCAAGGGGCTCCTATGTGGAGGACGTGAACAGTTAGGTTTGTGTGTGTGTGTGTGTGTGTGTGTGTGTGTTTTGCTGCTATTGTTGCTGCTGCTACTGCTGTTGTTGCTGCTGTTGATGCTGCTGCTGCTGCTGCTGTTGCTGCTGTTGCTGCGGTTGTGTGCAGGTGGCAGTAACATCTGTGAATCCTTCTCGCGGCACATTGGAGGTGTCTACGGACCTCACAGCAGCAGCAGCAGCAGCTAAAGCAGACAGCAGCAGCAGCAGCAGCTTCGGAAGGCTCCTGTCTATCGGAACTGTCTTCCCTGGTGAAGAGGCGCGGGTGCTGTCTGTACACCAGAACGGTGTGCTGCTGCTGCTGCCTCGGTGCCGCAAGGCGCCTTCAAAGCAGCAGCAGCAACAGCAGCAGCAGCAGCAGCAGCAGCAGCAGGAAGGAGTTCTAGGATTTGTCCCGTTGCTGCATCTTGCAGACGAAGTTTCGGTTGCTGTGGCGCTGCACCAGTCGCTGAAGGCAAGCTGATGCTGCTGCTGCTGCTGTTGCTGCTGCTGCTGTTACTGCTGCTGCTGCTCCTGTGCTGCTGCTGCTGCTACTGGATTTTGTGTTTGTGTGTTTTTGGGGTGTATGTGCAGGTCGGGGCTTCGCTGCCGTTTAAAGGGGTTGTTATTGCTGCAGCATTTACTGTCTCCTTGGGGCCCTCAACTCTTGCTGCTGCTGCTCGGTCTAAACGCAAACGCAACAGCAGCAACAGCAGCAGCAGCGGAGATGCAGCTGCGGACCCCGTTATTGCTGCAGCAACGAAAAAGGTTGAGAAGCTGCTGCAGGAGAACAAACAGCAGCTACCTGACATCTGCCTCATCAGCTGCAAGCCCTCCGTTTGGGGTAAGTTGCTGCTGCTGCTGGTGTTGCTGCTGCTGCAGCTGCATCTGGATGCTGTTACGGATGCTGGTGCTGCATCTCCATGCTGCTGCGTCTTGATTCTGTTGCTGCTGCACCATCTTGCTGCTGCTGCTGCATTTTGCTGCTGCTGCACCTAGTAGTAGCAGTTCGTTATTCCTGTTTAATTGCGGTGTAGCAGCATTTGCTTGTGCTGTTCATTGCTGCAGTGTCGTCTCTCGCCAGCAGCAGCAGCAACAGCAGCGGCAGCAGCAGCAGCGGGCGTTACTTTGCTCGCAGCAGCACGGAGCTGCAGCGGGTGCATGCAGCAGCAGGGGCCTCTCCTTTGCTGCTGTGGGGATATGTGAAACAAGCTGTATCATTTGGGGTGTATGTGTCGTTGGGGTGTATGCATGCACAGGGTGTATCTCTATTTCGAACTCTTTCTTCTGATTTTATACCCACAGAGCAGCACTTAGCTTCTAGGCTTCCTCCAGGGCTTACAGTTAAAGCTGCGCTGCTTCCGCAGCAGCAGCAGCAGCAGCAGCAACAGCAGCAGCAGCATCTCGTGGAGCTGCGGCCTCAGAAAATCAACAAAGTGCTCAGAGAGCAAAGTGAAGACGCAGCATTGGCTGCTGTAGCACTTCCTACGCTGCATGGTATGCTGCAGCAGCGGGCAGCAGCAGCAGCACTAGCTGCTGCTGCTGCCGCTGCTGCTTCACCTGCACCTGAGGCATGCGTCTGCAGCAGCGCGCTGCGCTGCGGCCGTTTGCTGCGCTGCAGCTTCGCGGAGATGAATTCTAAGGGGGGTTTATTTCGTGTTGCTGGCTGCTGCTCTGGGGCTGCATGCGTTGCTGTTGTTGTCCCTCCAGCGTTCTTGCCGCTGCAACTGCAGCAGCAGCAGCAGGAGCAGCAGGAAGGGGAGGACGCGGAGCAGCAGCAGCAGTTTGATTGCCTCATCGTGGCAGCAGACAGCTGCAGCAAAACTGCATTTGGTTGCTGCAGCGGGGAGCTGCTGCAGCCTTTCTTGCTGCTGCGGCAGCTAGCAGAGGAAGGACAGCAGCGGGGCAGCAAACTGCTGCGCTGCAAAGTGGGTGTCGCTGCTGCTGCAGATGTTGCAACGGGCACTGACGAGGATGCTGCCGAGCAGCAGCAGCAGCAGCAGCAGCAAGAGTTAACGATTCGCCTGCGAAAGAAAGCCAAGGTGAAGCAGCAGCAGCAGCAGCAGCAGACAGAAGCTTCTGAGTGGGAGTGGAAGTCTGACGGGATGCCCCCAGCGCTGCTGCAGCTGCTGCAGCAGCGACTGCTCAATCAGAAGCAGCAGCAGCAGCAGAGGAGAGGGGTGTTGGCTGCAGATCTTGGGCTGCTTGCTGTTGCTGCAGTTGCTGCTGATGCTGTGGAGTTTACACTCGAAGACAGCGCAGCGCTGCGGCTGTCTCTGCCTCTCTTCTGTCTAACTTTGTCTCCTATCAGCAACAACGAGCAGCAGCAGCAGCAGCAGCAAGAGCAGCAGCAGCAAGAGGACGGTAGGGCGCCAGCTGTGAGTGCTATTGCGTCTCTTGTTGGCTGCAATCTCGATCTGGTGGGTGCCGTCTCTTCTGCTGCTGCAGCAGGAACAGCAGCAGCTGCAGCAGCAACAGAAGTAGCAGAAGCAGCAGCTGCAGCAGCAGCAGCAGACAAGGCGCTGCCACAGTTGGTGCTGCCTCTTTGCTGCCGTTCCCGTGACGATGTGCAGACGAAGGGGCTGCCTACTGCTGCAGCTGCTGTAGCAGCTGCAGCAGCAGGCCCGCTGCGGCAGCAGATAGACAAAGAGCAGCAGCAGCTGCAGCAGCTAGCCACAGCTCCAGCAGCAGCAGCAGAACTGCAAGTTGGGTGTGTTGTAAGGTGCCGCTTAGTCAAAATAACTCCCTGTGCTGCTGTAGCAGAGCTGCTGTCTCCTCACTTCAAGGCTAAGGTGTATATACACCCCAGCGACGCGCTGCCTCCTGTTGCAGCAGCTCCCGAGCAGCAGCAGCAGCAGCAGCAGCAGTGTTTGTGGGCTCCGCCGCAGCTGACGGAGGAGACTGTACTTCCGGTGTCTCCTTTGGGGCTGCTGAGGGTGAAGCAGGAAGTCTGCGTTGTTATTCTTGCTGTTCATATATACAGAAACAGCAGCAGCAGCAGCAGCAGCAGCAGCGACGAGGAAGAGGGCTTTGGAGGCCTCATGGGCTCCTTGAAAAACCCTAAAAAGGAGACAGTCGTCATCAGCGGAGGCCTGTTCAGGCCAGCAGCAGCAGCAGCAGCAGCAGCAGAAGTTGAAGGGAAACCCTCTTCAAAACAAAAGAAGCGCAAGCAGCAGCAGCAGCAGCAGCAGCAGCAGCAGCAACAGCAACAGCAGTGTGAAGCGGAGTGGGGAGTGATTGAGAAGACTTTATCTGGGCACATTTTCGTAAGCTGCGGCTGGAGCAGCTACAAGGGGCAGCAGGAGGCACAGCAGCAGCAGCAGCAGCAGCAGCAGCAGCAGCAGCAGCAGGAACAGGAGCAGGAGGAGCAGCAGCAGCGGCACCCTCGGCGTCGAGGATGTATATATATATTAGATTGCTCTTCCTCGCGAAGTGGTCTCAGCAACCCACATTCTTTATTTAAGAGAGGCAGCATGCTGCTGCTGCGGCAGCTGCCTTTGCTGCGGTGTACGGATGCCTCGCTGTCTCTTGCTGCAGCAGAAGCAGCACCGCCAACAGCCACGGGAGACACCAGGCGCTTCCTTGTTGTCGGGCCTTGTGATGCAGCAGCAGATCAGCAGCAGCAGCAGTTGCTGCTCTTGCAGCAGCAGCAGCAGCAGCAATTGCGCCAGCACGAGGAGAAACACAAACACAAACTGCTGCTGCCTCCTTCACCGCTGCAGCAGAATTTGCTGCTGCGTCCTCTGCTGTCTCCTGCTGCAGCAGCTCCCATCCCAGAGGAAATCAAAACGGTAAGCAGCAGCAACAGCAGCAGCAGCAACAGCAGCAGCAGCGGCAGCGGCGGCGACAACAGTTATTGTGTTGCCGCTGCTGGTGCCACTGCAAACAGACGAATGCTGCTTCCTGCTGCTGTTGTAGCTGCTGCTGCTGCTGCAGCCGCAGCAGCAGCATTTGTTTTGTTTGGGTGTAGTTTGTCTATTGCTTGCTGTTTATTTGCTGTGTATTTGCTGCTGCTGTTATTGCTGTTGCTGCTGATGCTTTTGCTATTACTGCTGCTGCCTTTGCAGCTACTGTTGTTGATGATGCGATTGTTGCTGCTGTTACTGCTGTTGCTGCTGCTTCTGTTGATGGTGATGCTGCTGCTGGAGGAGTGTGTATGTTTGCTGCTGTTGTTGTTTGCTGCAGTCGGTGTTTGCTTCTATAAAGGAAGCAGTTGCTGCAGCACAGCGCTGGCGATTCGGGTGTGGGGTTTGCTGCCTCGGCAGAGTGCAGCAGCTGCTGCGCCCACCTCTTGCGGTGTCTGTACAGCTGACACAGCTGCTGCTGCTGTCCGAGAGCAGCAAAATGCTGCTGCGACTGCCGCTGCTAGCTTCTATTCATTTAACAGAGTTAACAGATGAGTTGCTGCAGCACCCGCTGCAGCAGCTGCAGATAAGTGTGGGGCAGTTCGTCAGGGTCAAGGTCCTCCAGCAGCAGCAGCAGCAGCAGCAGCAGCAGCAACAGCAGCAACCGGTGGCGGTGCAGGCTACTATGAGGCAAAGAGCCATTGAAGCTGCTGCAGAGACAGAAGAAACTTCGAAGCTGCCAACTAACATCAGCGACATTAAGGTAAGCAACCCCGGTCCTGCAGCAGCAGCAGCCGCAGCAGCAGCAGCAGCAGCAGCAGCAGCAGCAGAAGCAATAGCACTAGCAGGAGCAGAAGCAGCAGCAGCAGCAGCAGCAGGAGAAGCAACAGAAACAATAGAAGCAGCAGCAACAACAGTAGAAGCAGACACAGCAGCAACAGTGAAAGCAGAAGCAGCAACAGCAGCAACAACAGTAGATCCAGATGCATAGAGAAAACCAGAAGCAGCAGCAGCAGCAGCAGAAGCTGCAGCAGGGTGTATCTCTTTTTAATATCCCTTGGTGCTGCCTTTCGATTCTGTAAGCCCTCATGCATGTGCGCGCTGCTGCTGCTGCTGCTGCTGTTGCTGCTGCTGCGTGCGTTGCTGTTGCTGCTGTTGCTATGTTGCTGTTGCTGCTGTTTCTGCTGCAGCGTGGAGACTGCTACCCGGGTTTAGTGGTTAGCTGCAGCACTTCTGGTGTCTTTGCAGCTCTCAGCAGCAGCATAACTGTTCGCATTATGCTGCAGCACGCTGGAGTTGTAGCAGCAGATGCTGCTGACAGAGACGGCAGCAGCGGCTTACTGAGTGTAGCAGAAATTAAAAACAAATACCCACCAGGTTGTTTGCTGCCGCGTATCTTTATTCTAGCTGTAGATTATGCAGCAGGTAGAGTCGAGGGTTCGCTGCGCCCTGTTGCTGCTGCTGCTACTGCTGCTGCTGCTGCAGCAGGAGGCGCACAGACAGCAGCAGCAGCAGCAGCAGCAGCGCGGCGGGGGAGGAACGTTTTGCTGCTGCATCGCTTCCAGGAAGACCCGACTCCAGCAGCAGCCGAACCATCAGAAGCAGGAGGAACAGCAGCAACAGCAGCAGCAGCAGCAGCAGCAGCAGGAGCTTCCTTAGAGAAGCTGCGAGTGCTGCTGCTGCAATGCGTTCGTAAAGGATTAGTTGTTGAAGGCGTTGTTAGAGGAGTGCAGCAATACGGGGTATTCGTACGAATTTGTTTATATAGTGCAGATACACCTGACGAAGGCCCTGCTGTCTCCTTTCTGCAGCAGCAGCTGGAGCAGCAGCAAGGCAAAAAGGGCAAGAAAGCTGCTGCTGCTGCTGCTGCACTGCAGCAGCTGCGCGGGCTTCGCCTTGTTGCTGTTGATGCTCTTTGCTCTGCTTCTTGCTTAGGAGCATCTACTGAAGCAGAGAAGACACGGCGGCTGCAGATGTTAAAAGAAGGAGACAATGTGCAAGCTAAAATACTTGCAGTGCAGCACATCACCTGCGAGCGTGATGCTGCTGCTGCAGACAGCAGCAGCAGCAGCAGCAGCAGCAGCAGCAGCAGCAAAACGTGGCAATCTATCAAAGTCGATATATCACTGGATCCAGCAGAACTGCCGCCTCCCGAAGACCTGCAGCAACAGGAAGACACACAGCAGCAGCTAGCAGCAGCAGCAGCAGCATCAGCAGCAGCAGATGCTGGAGAAGCGCGAGACAACTCAACAGCAGCAGCAGCAGCAACAGATAAGAATGGGGCATCCTTAACAAATGAAGAAGCAGACACAGCAGCAACGGAAGGAAGCAGCGACAGTGAAGAAGAGGCTTTCCAGCAGCAGCAGCAGCAGCAGCAGCAGCAAGTGTGGGGTTGGGAGGAGACAGTAGCAGCAGAGGCTGCTGAAAATGCAGATGAGTCAGACGAAGAGGTAGAGCAAAATACTGCAGCACCAGAAAAAGGAAAGAAGAGTAAAAGAGACAAACAAAGAAAACGCGTAAGAACACTTGCTGCTGCTGCTGCTGTTGCTGCTGCTGCTGCTGCTGTTGCTGCTGTTGCTGCTGTTGCTGCTGCTGTTGCTGCTGCTGTTGTTGTTTTGGCTGCTGCTGCTCCCGCTGCGTTGTGCTGCTGTTTGTGTAGCGGAATGCATGCAGAGTGGTTGCCGCAGCTGCAACACTTGTGCTTGTGGCTGCTGTTATTGCTGCTGCTGTTGCTGCTGCAGCGAGAGATGCAGGAGGCCCTCGAGGCACTGGAGGCGCAGCAGCAGCAGCAGCAAGCGGGAGAACAGCCGCATACTGAGGATGACTTCGAGCGTCTGCTGCTTACTAATGGAGATGCTGCAGCTGTTTGGATCAGGTACAGGGTTTAGGGTTTAGCTCGTCATGCTGCTGCACAAGGCGTTCCTTTTGCTGCTGCTGCTGCTGCTGCTACTGTAGCTGCTGTTGCTGCTGCAGTTGCTGCTAGTTGGGGTGTATATCACTCTTCTTGCTGCAGAACGTCTGTGAATGTGCTGCTGCGTTTATTGCTGTAGCTGCTGCTATTATTGTTTTTTCAGCTATATTTTCGCTGCTGCTGCAGCATTTATTGCATTTGCTGCTGTTGCATTTGCTGCTGCTGTTGGTGCTGCAGTTATATAGCCTTTTACCTGCGTCTTGGTGAAGTAAAGAAGGCACGAGAAGTAGCAGAAAGAGCAGTTAAACAAATTAAATTTGCTGCAGAAGAAGAGCGGTTTGCTGTTTGGATTGCATTTCTTAACATGGAGGCTGTCTATGCTGATAATTTTAATGCTGTCTTTAGAAGGTAAAGCTTCTTTATTATTTATTTATTTATTTATTTATTTATTTATTTTTTATTGTTTATTTATTTATTTATTTGTTTGGTTGTCTGTTTGGCCTATGCTGATAATTTGAATGATGTCTTTAGAAAGTAATACCGCGTATTTATTTTATTTATTTTTTTATTTATTTTAATTAATTAATTAATTAATTTATTTATTTGTTTGTTTGTTTGCTTGTTGGACGTATGCTGATAATTTAATTGCTGTCGTCAGAAGGTAATATGTCTTTTTTATTAATTTATGTTTCATGCCTCTTGCTGCTGCTGCTGCTGTTGCTGTTGCTGCTGCTGTTGCTGCTGCTGCTGCTGCTGCTGCAGAGCTTTGCAGTATCTGGAGCAGAAGAAGGTGTATTATCAGGCTACGTTTGTTTTAGAGAGAGCAAACAAATTAAATGAAGCCCGCGATGTTGCTGCTGAAGCCTGCAGCAAATTTCCCCAGTCACAAAAGGTATGGCATCTCCTGCTGCTGCTGCTGCTGCTGCAGTTGCTGCTGCTGTTGCTGCTGCTGCTGCTGCTGTTGCGGCTGGTGCTGCTGCTGTTGCTGCTGGTGCTGCTGCTGTTGCTGCTGGTGCTGCTGCTGTTGCTGCTGCTGCTGCTGCTGCTGCAGTTGCTGCTGCTGTTACTGCTGGTGCTGCTGCTGTTACTGCTGGTGCTGCTGCTGTTGCTGCTGGTGCTGCTGCTGTTGTTGCTGCGTCTCTCTGTTTTATCGTTTATTTTATATAATAAACAATATCAAACGATTTTTATATTTATTTATTTTTCACTGTCTTTTTCTTTCTCTCCCATTCTTTATTTTTATTTTTATTTATTTGTTATTTGTTTTTATTTATTATTATCTCTTTTTGTATTTTATATATTTTTATTATTTATTGTTCAATTTCTTCAATATATTTTAGTATAGCAATATATTTTAATTAAACTAAGTAAAAATATTAGTTTATATATAAACACATTATACGCATATCTGAATATATATATATTCATATATAAATATATAAATATATATATATATATATATATATATATGTATGTATATATATTTATTTATATTTATATATTTATGTTTGTATGTACAGCTATGGGTGCGACGTCTGTCTCTTTTCTTTTTAAAGTCGGAGACAGTTGATGCGGGGCGGCAGCTGATGATAAAGGCTCTGCACTCTCTTCCTAGAAGAAAACATATTAATTTTGTTTGTTTGTCTGCTAATATGGAGTATAAACAAGCAGACCCGCAAAGGTATTATTACGCAATAATGCACACAACATCTAGCTAGCTAGCTAGCTAACTAACTAACTAGCTAGCTAGCTAACTAACTAACTAACTAGCGAGCTAACTAACTAGCTAGCTAGCTAGCTAGTTAGGTATTATTCTAATTAATTATAATAAATACAAAATAATACAATCTATAATAATGATTATTATTTATTTGTATGTTTATACAGAGGTCTAACATATTACGAAAATTTGCTAATAATAATAAAAATAATTATTATTAACAGCAATACTCCTTATTATGAATATATTTAATTATTATTATTATTATTATTAATATTAGTTATAATTATATTTGTTTGTTTGTTTATGCAGAGGGCGAACATACTACGAAAAGCTGTTGGCTGAGCACCCGAAGCGGACAGACATTTGGTTATTATATATTGAGCAAGAGATATGTTTATTGAGGCGAGCGTCGAAGACAGAGAAAGATAATATTGTATATTCAACTCAATTAGAGCTTCTTCGCCTTCTCTTCTCTCGTGCTGCTGCCCTTCCGCTTAAACCGCACAAGATGAAGTCTATCTTCTCAAAGTGGTTGTCCTTTGAAAAACAGTATGGCAGTATTAACTCTCAACAAGAAGTGCAGCAAAAAGCAGCAGAATATGTTAGTCGAGTTGAACACCAATTACTCAATAAAGCTAACGCTAGCTAACTGCTAGCTCTGCTCTACTCAGCTAGCTAGCTAGCTAACTAGCTGCTAGCTACTCAGCTAGCTAGCTAGCTAGCTAGCTAACGAGTGAGAACGCTTGTTAGCTAGCTACCGAACAAGGTAGCTAGCTAGCAAGCTATCTAGCTAACACCCACATTTTTAACTGGCTGGGTGGCTAGCTAGCTAGCTAGCTAGCTAGCTAGTTGGGATGCTGGAGGGGAAAGAACAACTCACAAGGGGAAGGCTGGCTTGGCTCTGGGTAGCTAGCTAGCTAGCTAGCTAGCTACCCGGCTGTGAGTCTCTCCTGATCAGCTAGCTAGCTAGACAGCTAGCTAGCTGTTGCTTAGACCTTAACGCTGCAATTTTAAAGCTCAAATGAAGCGACATGCTTTTGCCGCTGTTCGCTGCAGCAGCTGCAGCAGCAGCAGCTGCAGCGTTTGCTACATCTTCTAACGGTTTGTACCCCTCCCTTGCATGCATGTATGCATGCATGCAGCTAGATAGCTAGCTAGATCTGGCTGTATGCATGCATGCATGCATGCAGCCCCAGAGGAGAGAAGAGCGGTAGTAAGGGTTTTGTTGATATTAAGTTTGTTGGGTTTGCACTGAATAGAGTTTTAAAAGAAAAAAGAAAAAAAAGAAAAAGCAAACAAAAGAAGATAAACAAAAGCAGTTTGCACATCTCCTTCACCTGTACATAACTCTTTATGCATAGATATAAATACTATTGTATATATACAAATATTATATATATATATTTTATGTATATATACGTGAATCTATACAGATGTTTATAGAAATATATATGTATGCATGCATAAAACTAAGTTTCTATATATAAATAAATGCATTAAATATATATATATATTATATATATGTATGTATATATATTATAGAGTAAACAGATATATGCATATAAGATATATAAAATATATATTATATATTGTATATTATTTATAAATTATAGATAGATACAGACTAATATATTTATTAAATGCATAGACCCTCGTTGTCTTTAGCTGAGATGCAATGGGCGAAGAAAAACACAAAAGAAAGCTGCAAGCACTTCTAATCTCTTCAAAAAACAGCAGCAGCAGCAGCAGCAGCTGCTGCTGCAACTGCAACTGCTGCAGCAGCAGAAGCAGCAGCAACTGCAACTGCTGCAGCAGCAGCAACTGCAGCAGCAGCAGCAGCAGCATTAGATTTTTTTAAGCCACCGCATGGCTTTAATCGGGGCTTTTCCGTGGGGGCGAAATGTCCACTGAAAACAAACAACAAAAATCTAAACAATTGCATTTTCATTTATATATATATATATATATATATTTATATACTGTATATAGTATAATAGATATCTATATATACATAGATATATGTATGTATGTGTATATCAAATACATACGTATTTACAATTATCTATCTATCGATCTATCTAAGTATATATATATATATATTTATATATATGCATGGCGTTGCAGTTATATGTTTATATATTTATTTTTCTTATACACCTACTACATACATATATATATATATATATACATATATATATATATATGCATTATCTGCACCACAATGAATAAATATACATTTATATATATATATATATATATATTTATTTATTTATATATTTATATCTATCTAATCTATTTATCTTTCTACTTATATATTTATGTATTTATCTTTTTTCTTCTTTTTGTTGTTGGGTGTATTTGTGTTGCAGATATTTTTGTCTTTATTTGTTTGCTGCTGCTGCCTACAGAGGATATATATACATAGATATAAATATATATAAATATATACTTGTTTATGTCTTGTCTATCTATCTATATACAGACACCTTTATATATATATATATATATATATATATATACGTAGATGCGGATATGCATATAATAGTACATTACCCTATATATATATATGTATATGTATATATATACTTGCACGTATATGTATATGTATATATGCTATATATATGTATATTATATATGCACGTATATGTATATGTATATAAACATATATATATGCACATATATATGTTTATTTATTTATATTATTTTCTATCTTTTTTGCTCTTTCTTTGCCGCTTGTGTTTCTTTTCTTTTGCTGCTGCTGCTGTTGCTGCTGCTGTTGCTGCTGCAGCATTTGCAGCTGGAGCTGGTCTAAGAGCAGCATATTATCTCACCTGAAAGAGCATAACAGGGCCGGGTTGTTTGTCTGTAGATAGAGGATCTTCAGCAAAGATGCACCGAGCGTCTATCATAACCCCTCGAGGACTCCACCGACGCTGCAGCGCTCGGCCGCTCAGCCAAACGCAGCGGCACTGCCACGCACCTGTGTCTGTATCCTGATGTACAAATATAAACATAATATTTAATTAATTAATTAATTAATTAATTAATTTAGTTTAATTAGTTTATTTAGTTTATTTATGTTAATTAATTTATTTATCTATTTTTTTATGGCAGTAGTTAATTTCGTCTAGTTTATTTAATTTGTTTGTTTATTTAATTTATTTGTTTATTTAATTTATTTGTTTATTTAATTTATTTGTTTATTTACTTTGTTTATTTTGTTTGTTTAATTTACTCGGTGCGGTCTGTGTACGCTATTATTATTATTATATTACTATTATTATATTATTATTATATTGTTATTAATTATTAATTATTATATTATTATTGTATTATTTTTATTATATTATTATTATAATATTATTGTTATTATTATTGTTATTGTTGTTATAGTGGCTTGTTTATACTAATTAATGCATGCAGAGAGATGTATACACAGATACTATCTGCACGTTTCTAAAAGAATAAGAAACAGCTGGCTTGCTGCTACTGCTGCTGTTGCTGTTGCTGTTGCTGCTGCTGCTGTTTCTGCTGCTGCTGTTGCTGTTGCTGCTGCTGCTACTGTTGCTGCTGCTACAGCGCATCAGAGAGGAGTACATAAAGGGAGGGAAAGGAAAGATATTAGGGTTTAGGTGTATGTGAATTTAGTGTTTAAATTCGGGTGTACCTGCAGCTCTGTGCAAGAGCCATCAAAGCAGAATGTTCCCTGCTTAGTATTTTTAAGAGGTAGATGAGTCGTGAGTTGGATGGTGGGGCAGCATGCGTTTGTTGCTGTTGTTGTTATTGCTTCTTCTGCTGCTCCTTCAGTTTGCTGCTGCTGCTGCTGCTTTTGCTGCTGATTTAATCCTTCATCAAGGATCTGCACATCTGTTACGCTTGCATACGTAGCCATTACTTTCCGCTTCAACAAACTTATTCCTAAGGCCCCCAGCAGCTCCTCTACGCTGTCACTGCGGCCCCCCAGCAGCAGCTGCCAGCTACCGCGAAATGCAGCGGGGTTATTGCAGCAAAGCCTCCGGTAGCATTCATCAACATCACCTGCAGCAGCACACCAACAGAATAAATACCCCTATATATATATATATAAATATATACATATATATATTTATATGCATCTAAAGAGCAGAAGAAATGCATAAATGCAGCTGTAAGAAACAAGCGAAAGACAGGAAAGAAAAAGAAAAAGAAATTAAAACATACAAAAAAAGAAGGAAGGAGGGTTGAGGGCGCAGCTAATGCAACAGCAACGCCAACAGACAAATATATAAACAAGCATATAAATAAATAAACAAATAAATAAATATATAAATAAATTAATATATATATTGTGCGAACTATATTTAATATCTGTTTGTTCTTGTTTTACATGATTTGTTTAATTAGCATACAAGCTCACCTTCGGCGAAATTTTGAATATAGTCATCGGTAGACAGCGGCGAAATCAGCAAAAGACACACACCAGGAGAAGCAGGCGAATTTGTAGCGGATGTTTCCGCCTCATCCATCATTTTAATTTGCATTTCCTGAGAAAATATGCAAAAAAACAAACAAATTTCGAGTTGATCATTCGCTAGACTTCAACAGGTCTTGCAGGGCGTGCAGAAAACAGCGAAACGAGACGCCGAAATCTCGGCTTTCTGACGGATAAAAAGGAAAATTAAGACGAAAATATAATTGTTTATTCTCTATTGTATATTTTCATTCATAAGAATATTTGAAAAACAGCTATTTCCCGCCGGAAACTCAACGAGTTTTCATCATACCTCCTGGTCACGCGCCTTCGTTTGCTCCATGGTCGCTGCGGACGAAGGAAGGAAGCGAAGAAACAAGAGAAAAACGAGAATAATAAGGAATTCAAAAAGAAATGAAGTTTAAATAATATTTGCAAATTGGATTTAAACAGCAGAATATTGCAATAGACGAACTCTTTTAGTCACGAACAAACGACGGACTTATGAATGAAAGCTCTCAGTTTGATAGGGCGCGGGGCTTCCGCTTGCAGTTAGCTAGCTGGTATTCTTTTTAAAAATATGCAAAATAAACAAAAACAATTCAATATTAATTCAATTTATATTATAAAACAACAAATTTCAGAATTATTTACCTCATTTCATTGATTATTTACACTCATTTCTTCTTCTGCACACCTTGTACATCGTCTGGCCGTCTTCGTCGTGCTCTTCCGCATTAATGTACTCCAATAACGGGGGGAAATGCTTTAAATTAATTATAATTTAAACTAATAAAAGTAAAAGTATTTATTTAATTGATTAAATCCAAAGAAAATAAAAATAACGCTGCAAATATTACAAAGATAATCTGCCGCCCGCCTCATCTCGACATTAGACAGCCTCAGCCTTCTTCTTCGTTTCTTCTCGTATGAAGCCTACCAAATAAAAACATTTAAATTAATTTTTAATTAAATAATAAAATTTCAATTTTTATTTTGTCGTTTTAAATTACTTCTGTGCGTTATTTCACTCTAACACCACAGTGACCTGCTGATATATATAT